TCTCGTAATATGTCCTTCGAAGTCGTCTTTTATGGTCAGTGCGATCGTATCTGCTATAGCTCTAGGCATTGCAGATGCTGAAATGCAGAGGTAAAGTGTGAACATAGTCGAAGTCAAAGTTTCTTGTTCTGCCTGTTGTGTGCGTTATACCCGCTTCGATGTCGTCTCATATGATCGTTGCGAACTGACATGCTCCAAAGGTATCCATGTAAGATGATAGAATACAGAGATACAGTGTGCGGACTGAAGTATTCGAAGTATCTTCACTTGCTTTTTGTTCTCATCATGAGTCCTTCAAAGTCGTCTTATATGATCAGTGCGATCGTATTTGCTATAACTGTAGGCATGTCAGATGCTAGGATGCAAAGTTACAGTGTAAACATAGTCGAAGTTTCTTGTTCTGCATGTTGTGTGCGTTATACCCGCTTCGATGTCGTCTTATATAATAGTTGCGATCTCATATGCTCCAGAGGTATCCATGTGAGATGATAGAATACAGAGATACGGTGTGCTGATGTTGTCGAAGTATCTCCACTTGCCTATTGTCCTCGTTATATGTCCTTCGAAGTCGTCCTATATGGTCAGTGCGATCGTATCTGCAATTATTGTAGGCATGTCAGATGCTAGAATGCGAAGTTACGGTGTAAACATAGTCGATGTCGAAGTTTCTTGTTCTCCCTGTTGTAAGCGTTATTTTGAATCAGGAAACACTACACAATGTCTACCTATAAGATGTATAACCGACTTATTATCAAGATTGATAAATTCGAAGTTTTGGCGAACACGCCGGTTTACCGACTCTTGATTGTTGGAATCGAAGTTTTTAGTAGATTTGAAAAAGTATAGTACTCCACTCGCATATAATGAGCTGTCATATATACTCCTTGAATGGGCATTTGAGATGCTAGAATGCAAAGTTACAAAGTGAACATAGTCGAAGTCGAAGTTTCTCGTTCGGCCTGTTGTGTGCGTTATACCCGCTTCGATGTCGTCTCATATGATCGTTGCGAACTTATTTTTCGCCTATTGTTCTCGTTATAAGTCCTTCAAAGTCGTCTCATATGGTCAGTGCGATCGTCAGATTCTAGAATGCAATGTTACAGAGTAAACATGGTCGAAATCAAGGTTTCTTGTTCTGCCTGTTGTGTGCGTTATACCCGATTCGATGTCAACTCATATGATCGTTGCGAACTACCATGCTCCAAAGGTATCCATGTGAGTTGATAGAATACAGAGATACAGTGTGCAGACTGATGTTGTCAAAGTATCTTCACTCGCCTATTGTTCTTGTTATATGTCTTCCGAAGTCGTCATATATGGTCAGTGCGATCGTACCTGCTATTGTTGTAGGCATGTCAGATGTGAGAATGCGGAACAGTGTAAACATAGTCGGAGTCGAAGTTTCTTGTTCTTTCTGTTGTGTAAGTTATGCCCGCTTCGATGTCGTCTCTTATGATCGTTGCGAACATATATGCCCCAGAGGTATCCATGTGAGATGATGGAACACAGAGATACAGTGTGCAGTCTGATGTTGTCGAAGTCTCCTCAGTTGCCTATTAATCTCTTTATATGTCCTTCAGAGTCTTTCGGTCAGTGCGATCGTATCTGTTTTGACTGTAGGCATGTCAGATGCTAGAATTCAGAGCCACAGTGTAAACAAAGTCGAAGTCGAAGTTTCTTGTTCTGCCTGTTGTGTTCGATTTGATGTCGTCTCATATGATCGTTGAAAACTGATATGCTCAAAAGGTATCCATGTGATATGATAGAATACAGAGATACAGTGTGCAGCCTGATGTTGTCGAAGTATCTTCACTTGCCTATTGTTCTCGTTATAAGTCCTTCAAAGTCGTCTTATATGGTCATTGCGATCGTATCTGCTATAACTGTATGCATGTCAGATGCTAGAATGCAAAGTTACAGTGTGAACATAGTCGAAGTCAAAGTTTCTTGTTCTGCCTGTTTTGTGTGTTATACACGACTCGATGTCTACTCATATAATCGTTGCGAAGTACAATGCTCCGAAGGTATCCATGTGAGGTGACAGAATACAGGAATACAGTGTGCAGACTGATGTTGTCCAAGTATCTTCACTTGCCTATTGTTCTCGTTATATGTCCTTCGAATTCGTCTTATATGGTCAGTGCGATCGTACCTGCTATTGTTGTAGGCATGTCAGATGCGAGAATGTGGAGTTACAGTGTAAACATAGTCGGAGTCGAAGTTTCTTGTTCTGCCTGTTGTGTGCGTTATACCCGCTTCGATGTCGTCTTATATGATCGTTGCGAACATATATGCTTCAGAGGTATCTATGTGAGATAAAAGAATACAGAGATACAGTGTGCAGACTGATGTTGTCGAAGGGTCTCACTTGCCTATTGTTCTCGTTATATGTCCTTCGAAGTCGTCCAAAATGGTCAGTGCGATCGAATCTGCTATAACTGTAGGCATGTCAGATGCTAGAATGCAAAGTTACATAGTATACATAGTCGAAGTCGAAGTTTCTTGTTCTGCCTGTTGTGTGCGTTATACTCGTTTTGATGTCGTTAGTAGGAGTCGGGGGAGGATGGCTGACCCCTACCCCCTTACCCAACCACGTGACTCGGCTAGCCAATCAGAGAGCAGCATTACCCACTCCTCTACTTTTGTCGACGGCGCGAACTCCAAGTCTAGATAGTCTGCTAATGGCGCGAAATTCAAATTGTGTGACGTCATGGCATCATCATCCTATATAAATTTAAAAAAACCTTCAGCGCTGGGGATCGAACTCGGGACCTTTGCATTATGAAAAAAACTTAAATTCATTTATTCGCTGACATAGTTTTCACAATACAACACATATTACATCAACATATTCGTGTAAAATGGGCTTGACATATCTGTGAGTATGACTGAACGTCCCTCCGCTGTCGCAGAGGTGGCTGGTGTTAGCCAAGGAATATGAGAGGATATGTGAGGTGTTCGTCGCAGTGACCTATTTCCTAGGGCTAGGTCCTTTATACAGGTAATCTCGCTGGTGGTACCCATAGGGTGGGGGAGCTGCTCGTGCGCGATCAGAGTGGGAAGGGTTGCTAAGTCGTTGGAGGAAAAATAAAATTAAAATAAAATAAAAAAACCTCCTTCTTGTATGTCTCGAGCAGTTGTGCGCATGCGTTTCCACATGGGCACTTCTGCCCGAGTTCAGTGTCTATTACGACACTATGTTATTTTCGTGCTTGGGAGGTAGTGCTGTCTAGAGTCTCCTTGGTGGCTCGGACATGTCCGAGCACCCGGGGAGGTTCCCGACTATAGATTATCAGGCTCCCTTGAAACATCGGTTGATGCATATATCAGTCCATGTTTTTTATGGATTTTATGGTGTTGTCTGAGTGTTGTCATATTCCGGGTAAGGTCACTTCCAGCGATGTGGTATTTGTAAAATCCATTAGAGATTTTCAAGATGTATTCGTCAATTCTCGGCAAATTACCACATCTCTCGTGGAGATCTGCCATCCGAGAGTTTCTATCACCATTGGTGATAATACGGAGTACTTTATTCTGCAGCACCTGTAACCTATTCATATGAGTAGGTGAGATGCTGCAGAACACTGGACACGCGTATGTTATCACTGGCCTGATGACCTGCTTGTATACTAGGACCTTATTCTCCTGCGAGAGAGCTGAGGTCCTGGATATCAAGGGGTACATCTTTTTGATGGCATTTTGGGTTTTCTGGATGAGGTAGTTTGTATTCTTTCTCAGACTCATACGGGTGTCCAATTTGACTCCCAGGTATTTCACGGTGGTCGTGTCTGCCACCTCAACCCCTTTGACGGTCAAAGGTCTGCTCAGTCGAGAGTTGTTGACTTATTTGTGGAAATTGATGACCTCAGTCTTTGCGCTGTTTATGCAGATCTTTGACTCGTCAAAGTACGGTATGATTCCCCTGTCCAGATGAATCTGGATCTGTGCCCTGAGGCAGCGTATATACGCACTGAGCCATTCAGGAGGCCATGAAAGTTTCACTATGAAAACCTCATTTAACTGGGATCGTCGAGGATCAGCGAGCAGAGCTATATATAGGTTGATAAGACGTTTGTACTACTTTTGTCGACGGCGCGAACTTAATATCTAGATAGTCTGTAAATGGCGCAAAATTTAAATATAGATAGTCACCTGCATGTTATACATTATTCGTATGATGACGTCATCGTCGATCCAATTTATATTTAGAATAGAATAAAAAAAAGTGTTGGGTCTGTGTTGGGAATCGATCTCGGGTCCCCGAGTCGAGAGTCCGACGCGCAGCCATCAGAGCCACGACCACTACATGATATTTATTATAGTTTAGAATGTTACATACAGCATTGGAGCAGATCGGCAAGCACAAGATCCCTTACGATGATTACGCTATGCAACATTGTTGTTGCGATTACCACGCGCGCATTTCGGTAGATTGAAAATCCTTATCGCAATTAACGAAATAATATAAATTATGATGAAATATTTCCATAAAGTTGTTATTCTGTATGCCAATGATAAGGGGGTCAAAATAACAAGAAATATGACCACGTTATCAAAACCTCAGAGATTATTACGCTCGCGCGATGGAAATCAACGTCGTCACGTCGCCATCGTGAATAAATGCATTGGAAAAAAAGCTGTCATCGCTGGGAATTGAACCAAGGACCTTTGCATTACGAGTCAGCGTATATATACGCACTGTGGTATTCCGACCTCCGTAATATCTCAATTATTTTAATGCCTGGCGCGCGCTTATCTTTGCAACGGATCTGTAGAGGTAGACCAAAGCGAGAGATGCGTTCCAAGTTCTTCTGCAACAGACTGACCACCTTCAACTTCCAAAGAATTCTGTTTGTTCAGTTTCATCCAACAAGCTCTTGATAAGTGACCAACTTTCTTGCATAGATTACAAGTATACGAAGAGTATTTACATTTTTGGTTCCCAGTATGAAAAAGCCCACATGATTTACATTTCCAACGTCCTGTTCCTGCTTGATTACCTTGTACAGTATCCGACATTATCCGTGAATTGTTAGTATTCGAAGATCTTCTGATATTTCCCACGATTTTATTGTTCAACAAATTCACACTAGCTGCACTGCTGCTACCAGTTATTGAGGTTTCCTTCAGAAGTGCCAATTCTAATAGCCTGTCGAGATTAGTATCGAGTTTTTCTTCACATAATCTGTCTCTTATCGTGCCTTTCTTCATTGAACATACGAATTTATCTTTCAGATAACATTTCAGGTTGGCCCCAAATTCACAATTGTTGGAAAGGTTGTGAATCCTTGCAAACCATGCATTCACATTTTCGTTTTCTTCTTGACTTGCCTCGAAAAATTTGATTCTCTCCTTGTAGACGGACGTCATCGGACAAAAATGAGTTTTCAACAATTTACATATATCTTCATACTTCTTATCCTTAGGTAAATCCGGTGTGCAAAGGTCTCTTAGAATGCGGTAAGTATCAGATCCGATGAGACTTAGTAAAGCTGAGACTCTTCGTGCATTACCAGCTACATCTCTAATTCCATTTATACTGAAGAACATCTCAAGTTGATCTTGGTATAGAGTCCAATTATCGTGACTAGGATTGAATTCTCTTATACTTCCAATTGTAGCCATGATTCAATTTCCAATTTGCCTCGTCGCCAATGTGATGACCCCAAGTGGTTAATTGTATTGAATATACGATGTTCGAAGGTTTTTTATGATTTATTCAAAATGATGAGTATTTCTTGATGATGTTTCTCTTTTGACAAGTCAATCAATAAATATTTCTTGGATACCACTGAATATAACAAAATACGCATACATTATACAGGTAGATACATTACAGTCATGACGCGAAATAATTCTAAGTTCATTGGAAGAAAAAGGTGAGTGACAATTGTATGTTTTTCGCCCAAAATTCGGTAGAAATCAAGACGTTCAACGAAAAATTCTCTTTTCTTTTTTACTCAGAATTGCCTCTTTACTGGGAAAAAATTGGAGAAGTAATATTTTTGATGAGAATTTTCCCGATATTCATATTTTCTCAAATATCTCGAGAACGGCACAAAATATCGAGAACCTGAATCGAAAAATACCCCAACATTCTTGTCGACTTTCGCAAAGGTCTACCACATGGAGAGAGTCCGAACACCGTATCACGAAAAACAAAAAAATTAGTACGACGTCATGACGCGGAATAATTCTAGTTCATTGAAAAAAAGAAGTGAGTGACGAGTGTATGTTTTTCGCCAGGAATTCGATTAAAATCAAGACGACCAACGAAAGAATCTACACACTGTTACTCAAAATTGCCTCTTTACTGGGAGGAAAAAATTGGAGAAGTATTATTTCTGTTCAAATCTTTTCAAGTCCCGATATTCATATTCTCTCAAATATCTCGAGAACGGCAATGAATATCTAAAATCTAACTCAAAAAATACCCCAAAACCTTTATCGACTTTCGCAACGGCCTACCACATGGAGAAAGTCCGAACATTGTGTCACTAAAAACACAAGAATTATTACGACGTCATGACGCGGAATAATTCTGAATTCATTGAAAAAAAAAAGTGAGTGACAAGTGAATGTTTTTCGCTCGAAATTCGATTGAAATCAAGACGACTAACGAGAAAGTCTTTATACATTGGTACTCAAAATTGCCTCTTTACTAGAAGAGAAAAATTGGAAAAGTATCATTTCTGATGAAATTTTTTCAAGTCCCGATATTCATATTTTCTTAAATATCTCGAGAACGGCACAAAATATCGAAAATCTGAATCGAAAAATACCCCAACACCTCTGTCGACTTCCGCAACGCACATGGAGAAAGTCTGAACATTATATCACGAGGAACAAAAAAATTTGTACGTCGTCATGACGCGAAATAATTCTAAGTTCATTGAAAAAAAAAAGGTGAGTGACAATTGTATGTTTTTTGCCCAAAATTCGGTAAAAATCAAGACGATCAACGGAAAATTTTCTATTCTTTTTCACTCAGAATTGCCTCTTTAGTGGGAAAAATATTGGAAAAGTAATATTTTTGATGAGATTCTTCCAAGTCCCGATATTCATATTTCCTCAAATATCTCGAGAACGGCACAAAATATCGAAAATCTGAATCAATATATAACCCAACATTCTTGTCGACTTTCGCAAAGGTCTACCACATGAAGAGAGAGCTCGAACACCGTATCACGAAAAACAAAAAAATTAGTACGACGTCATGACGCGGAATAATTCTAAGTTCATTGAAAAAAAAAGTGAATGACAAGTGTATGTTTTTCGCCAGAAATTCGATTGAAATCAAGACGACCAACAACAGAGTCTCTACATTGTTACTCAAAATTGCCTCTTTACTGGGAGGAAGAAATTGAAGAAGTAATATTTTTGTTTAAATCTTTTTAAGTCCCGATATTCCTATTTTCTCAAATATCTCGAGAACGGCAATAAATATCAAAAATCTAAATCAAAAAATACCCCAACTCCCCTGTCGACTCTCGCAAAGGCCTACCACATGGAGAAAGTCCGAACACCGTATCACGAAAAACAAAAAAATTATTACGACGTCATGACGCGAAATAATCCTGAGTTCAATGAGATAAAGAAGTGAGTGACAAGTGTATATTTTTTGCCCGAAATTCGATAGAAATCGAGACGATCAACGAAAAAGTCTCTATACATTGGTACTCGAAATTGCCTCTTCACTGGAAGAGAAAAATTGGAAAAGTATTATTTCTGATGAAATTTTTTTAAGTCCCGATATTTATATTTTCTCAAAAGTCTCGAGAACGGCACAAAATATCGAAATATACCCCAACACCCCTGTCGACTTTTGCAACGGCTCACCACATGGAGAAAGTCCGAACATTATATCACTAGAAACTAAAAAATCAGTACGACGTCATGACGTGAAATAATTCTAAGTTCATTGAAAAAAAGAAGTGAGTGACAAGTGTATGTTTTTCGCCCGGAATTCGATAGAAATCAAGACGACTAACGAGAAAGTCTCTATACATTGTTACTCAAAATTGCCCCTTTACTGGAAGAGAAAAATTGGAAAAGTATTATTTCTGATGAAATTTTTTCAAGTCCCGATATTCATATTTCCTTAAATATCTCGAGAACGGCACAAAATATCGAAAATCTGAATCGAAAAATACCCCAACACTTCTGTCGACTTCCGCAACGCACATGGAGAAAGTCTGAACATTATATCACGAAAAACACAAAAATTGGTACGACGTCATGACGCGAAATAATTCTAAGTTCATTGAATAAAAAAAGGTGAGTGACAAGTGTATGTTTTTCGCCTGAAATTCGATTGAATTCAAGACGACCAACGAACAAATCTCAATACATTGTAACTCAGAGTTGCCTCTTCACTGGAAGAAAAAAATTGGTGAAGTATTATTTTTGATGAAATTTTTCAAAGTCCCGATATTCATATTGTCTCAAATATCTCGAGAACGGCACAAAATATCGAGAATCTAAATCAAAAACTACCCCAACATTCTTGTCGACATTCGCAAAGGCCTACCATATGGAGAGAGTCCAAACACCGTATAACGAAAATCAAAAAAATTAGTACGACGTCATGACGCGGAATAATTCTAAGTTCATCGAAAGAAAAAGTGAGTGACAAGTGTATGTTTTCCGCCCGAAATTCGATAGAAATAAAGACGACCAACAAAAAAGTCTCTATACATTGTTACTCAGAATTGCTCCATTACTGGGAGAAAAAAATTGGAAAAGTATTATTTTTTATGAAATTTTTTCGAGTCCCGATATTCATATTCCCTCAAATATCTCGAGAACGGCAATGAATATCGAAAATATAACTCAAAAAATACCCCAACACCTTTATCGACTTTCGCAACGGCCTACCACATGGAGAAAGTCCGAACATTATACCACGAAAAACAAAAAAATTAGTACGACGTCATGACACGGAATAATTCTGAATTCATTGAAGAAAAAAAGTGAGTGACAAGTGTATGTTTTTTGCCAGAAATTCGATTGAAATCAAGACGATCAACGAAAAATTCTCTATACATTGTTACTCAAAATTGCCTCTTTACTAGAAGAGAAAAATTGGAAAATTATTATTTCTGATGAAATTTCTTCAAGTCCCGATATTGATATTCTCTCAAATATCTCGAGAACGGCACAAAATATCGAAAATCTGAATCGAAAAATACTCCAACACTCCTGTCGACTTTCGCAACGACCTACCACATGGAGAAAGTCCGAACATTATATCACGAAAAACAAAAAAATTTGTACGTCGTCATGACGCGAAACATTTCTAAGTTCATTGAAAGAAAAAAAAAGGTGAGTGACAATTGTATGTTTTTTGCCCAAAATTCGGTAGAAATCAAGACGATCAACAAAAAATTCTCTATACATTTCTACTCAGAATTGCCTCTTTACTAGGAAAAAAATTGGAGGAGTAATATTTTTGATGAGATTTTTCCAAGTCCCGATATTCATATTTTCTTAAATATCCCGAGAACGGCACAAAATATCGAGAATCTAAATCGAAAAATACCCCAACTTTCTTGTCGACTTTCGCAAAGGTCTACCACATTGAGAGAGTCCGAACACCTTATCACGAAAAACAAATGAATTAGTACGACGTCATGACGCGGAATAATTTCAAATTCATAGAATAGAAAAAGGTGGGTGACAAGTGTATGAATTTCGCCCAAAATTCGATAGAAATCCAGACAATCACCAAAAAAGTCTTCATGAATTGTTACTCAAAACTGCCTCTTTACTGGAAAAAAAATCGGAAAAGTATTATTTTTGATGAAATTTTTCAGTCTCGATTTTCATATTTTCTCAAATATCTCGAGAAAGGCACAAAATTTCGGAAATCTAAATCGAAATATACCCCAACACCCTTGTCGACTTTCGCAAAGGCCTACCACATGGAGAAAGTCCGAACACTGTATCACGAAAAACAGAAAGATTAGTACGACGTCATGACGCGAAATGATTCTGAGTTCATTGAAAAGAAGGAGTGAGTAACAAGTGTATGTTTTTCGCCTGAAATTCGATAGAGATCAAGACGACCAACGAAAAAGTCTCCATACATTGTCACTCGAAATTGCCTCTTCACTGGAAAAAAAAATCTGAAAAGTAATATTTGTGATGAAATTTTTCGAAGTCCCGATATTCATATTTTCTCAAATAAAAAAATAAAAAAAATAAATAAATAAATGAATATTTTATTGATCCATTTAGACATCCACAGAATGTATAGGACAGGTCGGGTTGTATAGAACATACATACAAAAAAACAAATCATCAGTTACAAATAGTGACATAAAATATGATATAAAAAGTACAAAAAATGTGAAAGTCAGCTGTACGTCGTCAAATAGACTCTACATCGCAGTCTGAAAAAAATTTTCCAATGCTATAATAGCCTTTGGAGCTTAATAAAAACATCACTCTGTTTTTAAACATATTTTTGTTCATCTCTCTAAACGTTTCAGGCAAGTGATTGAATAATATAATCCCCTGGTAAGTGGGAGATCTTTCAAATTTCAATG